GTGTTCTAACCTTTATCATTTCTTTCCTGCTGCTAGTCCTTGGTTTAACTTGTTCTTTTTCCATAAGTTGTAAAGTTAGGCTGTTGAACTGATCTTTGGTGTTTTCAAACCTCTAAATATTTCCTGATTGTCCTCATGATGTCTTCTTTGGTCTATTGGTCATGTAAGGTTATTGGTTTAATTTTCACAAATTTGTGAATATCCCAGTTTTATTGCTGGTGCTGATTTTTAACTTCATCTCATTGTATGAGAAGTTACTTTGTGTGATATCCATCTTTTATAGTCTACTAAGACTTAATTTGTGAACTGACATATGGTCTGTCTTATAAAGTRTCCCATATGAACTTGGGGAAGATGTGTGTGCGTGTTGTTGGGTAGAGTGTTCTGTTCATGTCTGCTAGGTCTAGTTTGTTCACTGTGTCAGGACTTCTGTTTCCTCACTGATCTTCTGACTGATTATTCTATTCATTATTGATTATGGAGTGTTGAAATCTCCAACTATTATTGTAGCACTGTTTATTTCTCCCTTCAATTCTGTTATTTTCGCTTCATATATTTTGATGTTTGGTTATAATGTATGTAAATATTTATAATTGTTATATCTTCTTGTATCAGAACTTTTATTATTACATAATATTATTCTTATCTCTCAAAACCACATTTGATTTAAAACTTTTTTTTTTTTTTGTCAGATTTTGGCATGGTGGCCACCTCTGCTCTCTGCTCCTTTTACTTCCATTTTTTTCTTTGGATCTAAAGTAGAATCTCTTGTTATCAGCACAGAATTTAATCATGTTTTAATCCATTCTTCAAATCACTGTCTTTTGATTGGGAACTTTAACCTATTTACCTTTAAAGTTATTAATGATAAGAAAAATTTTACTTCTGTCATTTTGCTATTTATTTTCTATATACTTTAAAGCATTTTTTGACCCTCATTTTCTACATTACAGTATTCTTTTGTGTTTAGTTCTTTTTTTCTTTTTTCTTTGCAGTTAAATGTTTAAATTTCTTTCTTATTTCCTTTTGTGTATATCCTGTAATAATTTTCTTTGTGGTTACCATAGGGATTATTAACATATTAAAGTTATATCACTCTAAGTTGAATTTATACCAGCACAACTTTGATAACGTGAAACTTTGCTAATTTACTTCTTCATATCCACTATTTTCAGTTAATGCTGACACAAAATTTTATCTTTGTAGATTGGTTTCAAAAAGAGGAAAAATAAAAATAAAGAGGAGGTTACCCTTCAAGTTCCATTAAAGTCCCTTTGGCTGGAGGAGACTGTAATAATATAGGAGGCATAACAAGAATAGCTGCCACCTTTTGTCTGAATTTTTGTGATCAGAAGCAGTAATCAGCAATAATAGCACATGTCTCTGATATTTGAAGGACAGAGTTCTTTTGCCCATCCTGGCTCCTACAAGCAGTGTTCAGGCTGTTTCTGGAACACAGGCACAGTTGTCTGATACGGGCTGGGATGAGGGACCAGTAGCTGCTACTGTGCTAGAGCTGAAATTGACTATAATTTACTGTCCAACCCTTCCTCTAGAAATTGAAAGCAGTTAATAGAACCCAGAGTTCCAAAAACAGTTACATCAGATTCTGCTAGTGCAATTGTTGCCTAGGTAGGGAGATCCAGTCCTGGTGCTTTTTATTCTGTCTTCTTTCCCAAATCCTCCTATTCACTTTTTTTTTTTTTTTTGGTTTTGGGGATTGAACCCAGGAACACTTTACCGCTGAGCTACATTATTCTTTCTTTCTTTCTTTCTTTCTTTCTTTCTTTCTTTCTTTCTTTCTTTCTTGTTATAGATGGACACGATACCTTTATTTTATTTATTTCATATGGTGCTGAGGATTGAACCTAGGGCTTTACACATGTGAGGCAAGTGCTCTATATCACTGAGCCACAACCCCAGATCTAGTTATTTTATTTTTATTTTGAGACAGGGTATTATTAACTTGTTGAGGGCCTCACTAAGTTGCTGAGGCTGGTCTGGAACTTGCAATTTTTCTGCCTCAGCATCCTGAATCACTAAAGGATTATGGGTATGTGCCCCCATCTTAAGCCTCCTATCTATTTTTTTTTGTGGGAAGGTTTTGAACCCAGTGGCTCTCTACCACTGAGCTACACCCCAAACCTTTTTTTATTTTTCTGAGACAGAGCCTTGGAAAATTGCACAGGCTGGCCTAGAACTTGTGATCTTTCTGCCTCAGCCTCCCAAATTTCTGGGATTACMGACGTGTGTTACCACATCTGTCTCCTATCCACTTCTAACAAATGAGAAAACTAAGACACAGAGAAATTTTTTTTTCCCAAATCACAGAGGTAAAAAGTGGCAGAAATGGAATTTGGACTCATGGTGCCTGGCTACATAGACTATATCATATTCTTAAATTCACAAATTGCTATTTCTGTGGAAAGAAATAAAGGGAGTGGGTATATAAAATGAAACCTTAGTTCACCCAACTGAAAAGAATGAATGAGCAAATTAGCATAGGCAGCAATCAATCTGGCTTGTAATTGAAGTAAATATGCAGCTTCAGATTTACAAAGTAGCTTTGGGCATATAATTCTGGATGAGGATGACAAGAGCCTCTTTAAGCTGTGGGATGGAGAGCTGAAGTGTTCACAGGGCCTCAGAAGGTGAGCAAGACAATATCCAAATGGCCTGCATGCCATACCTTGGTGCCCTCAAGGAAACAACTGTGTGGAAAAGAGTGAGTTCAGAGAGGCCCTGGGAGGTTGTCTGAGGGCCAGGTTTGCTTGTGGTCTGCTTCCTGCCAGAAGTATGGGTACCTTTTGTTTGCCCAGAAATAGAATTATAGGAAATCTCTGAGTACATTTAAAATTTAAAAAAAAAAAAACCTTAAAAGGACAGGCTATGAAAAAATACACAATTGTGATATGTGATTTATATGTAATTCTAAATTACTCCTCTGCTGTTTGTTCACAACAATGAATCCCAAAGTATACAAAAATGACTTTAAACTGAGTGTGGTGGTGCATGTCTCTAATCCCAGCCTCTTGGGAGGCTGAGATGGGAGAATCACTTAAGCCCAAGGAGTAGCATGGGCAACATAACATTTTCCCTGACTTGGAAAAAATAATTGACAATATCTATATTTTATCAACTAAAATGCACTCTAGTTACTAAATTTTGATCAGTTGTTCACTGCTCATCATGTTTAAAAAGTCAAGGTTTTAGTCAATTTTGGTCTTTGAAGTTTTAAGAGTTTCTTTAGAGTCTTTAGAAATTAATTAGCAATGAGTAAATACATACTATGGAGATTTGAAGGATGCAACCTAACATTTTGAATTATTTTTGTCATATTTTTTGTTGGTGCATTATAGTTTACATAATGCTGGGATTCATCGTTATGCATTTGTACATGTACACAATATAACAATGTAATTTGGCCAATATCACTCCCCAGCACTTCCCCCCAGTATTTTTCTCTTTTCTTCCCATGCATTTTGGATTCTTGATTTATGAAAGAAACATTTTTATGAGATTCCTAATGATGATTTATTTATTCCTAGTATGTATCAATGGTCATATAGTGGATCCAGTTTTTCAAGTTCCCAAGTCTGAAAATCAGATTTATATTTTAAATCTAAAATTTTTGTTGGCAGTTCTGCATGTGGACATAAAACCAGCTGTGCTTTAAACCTTGGGCTCAGATCACTTGTTGCAATCAAAGGGGTGGACAAGGCTAAAAGCCCACTTGCTACCCAAATGTAAACCTTGTAAATGGAACAGTTCTCCAATGTGCTCTTTGGTCTATCTGTTCTCTGTCTTGGGTCTTGAAACAATGACCAGAACATTAGAAATATACTGCTGAGCACATTTTTTATGGAAACAAATTGAGACAGATTTGTTCCAGACTCAAAAAATACTTTCTCCCCTAGTACTGAACCCAAAGACTTGATGATTTCTTGCCAACCTCAAGCACAAACTAGCCATCTAAAAGCAAAGGTAAGAAAAGCATCTGCCCTCTTCTCAGGTTATGTGAGTTGAAATCTTTCAGTTTCCACCTTCATAGCAATAACTTTTTTTTTCTATAATAAATGCTTATTGCTGTGTATAACCAAACTCTGTTTATTAGGGCACACAAACCATCTTAATTGGGCTCCCCTCCTTCCTCCACTGTCCAGTAGCATTACAGAAGTGAGTTATTTCAGTTCATTTAGATGGTTCTGAGACTGTCAATTCTGATAATTTTGGATGAAGTGAGCAGGCTAAAATGGATGTAAATGAATCAAACTTTCAATCATATGTGATTTGAGTACACAGAGCTACAGTTCAGTTGTAATAGAAGGTATAAGAGCTTAAAAGACCCAGAATAATTCACACTAAAATATCTTGGGGACTTTTTCCATTTTAAAATGAATCAAGTAATTCTGTGTGGTTGAGGATCGACAGCAAAATGGAAACAGAGCAAACTGCAGAATTTTTCACCAAGTAACTGCATTAGCAGCAAAACTCATAATATAGTCTGTCAGTTGAAAAGAACATGAAGGAGCCTTCTGTTTTCTTATGAGGTGCCATATTCTTACAGTTCCTGGCGAATTATACTTAGCTACTGCTAAAATGAGGTTATTAGAAAATGCTGTCTTCCCCTGTAGCTTTTAGCAATAATGAGAGACTTCATGGATACTAACTTTTCTTATAATTTGTTTATTAGCATAGGTAAACATAATTAAAACTACTATCAAATACTTCCTTCTATTTATGATGTGCCTATAACACAAAGTATTGCTCTATAATATCAATCCTGAATTTAAAAATATATTCCTGAGGATTGACTATAGGTTAAACTGGTAGGCAAATGCTTTAGTGATCTTTGAAACTTTAATATTTCTTAGTAATATTCTTTTTTTTCTAGCTAGAAATTTCTGTAGGATAAAATGCATAGCATAAATGTTATTTATGACAGTTATTATTATATGACATAAAATTTATACATATTCTTGTTCATGTATTTCACTTACCAGAATTAAGAGGCAACTTGAGGCCAATTTCGTGTGCTCAGGGATGGTAGAAAACACGGACAAAATCAAGCAACCAAAGACAAGGAGGAAACTGTAAAACAACAGTAAAAAAGAGGAATTTGATAAGAAACTTGCCTTATCATTATAGAAAGAATAAAACACCAGACCCAGTTGAAAAGGCATAGGTTAAATCATAAAAGCCCTAGTAGACACTAGCCATTTTGAATATCAAAATACAGTATGACATAGGGTGGAAATGGGGCACCTTAACAATTTTATTGATAAAGAAAAGGTTGTATGTGTGAATTTGTTTGTGTGTGTGATGCTGTGTTTAAGTGTTCACATTTAATAATCTACAAGTTTCCAATACAAATCTTTGTCCAAGCAGGGATCCTGAGAAAGGTTCAAAGAGAGAGAGAGTGGTCATGTTTTCCTACTGGAGCAGACTGCAGCCACTCTCCTATCAAAGAAGCAGTATCCACCTCATGTTTGGCAGCTTTGGCAAAAAGTCTGGTATTCTAAGTCACTGTTACCAGGACACTGGCCCATTGTTCGAGTCTGATACTACTCATGAATTCTCATTTGTCATTCTTTTATATGAATAAGAAGAATAGAAAAGGGAAGGGGTGATCTACTCTGCTACCTGTGCATCTCAATTTCCTTGTAGTCAAACTAAACAGAAAAATGACCTCTGTGCTCTGTCTCCTCATGGGTTATTAGAAAATGCTCTCTTCCCCTGTAGTTTTTAGCAATCATGAGAGACTTCATGGATACTGYTAGGGATTGGAAGTCAGGGGCAACCATTTCCGACCAATCCATCTATAGATTTTTTATTTCAAGAAAGATGGAACTTGCAGAATCAAGGGAGGAGTAGAGTTCCCAAGGAAAATGTCTAATAAAAGACAAGGCTTTGTTTCAAAGTCAATTTACAAGATAACAAAACAAAACACCCAAGCTACCTGCTTTGGGACAATTTCAACTTCTACTCATCTCTGAGAAACTCATATAATAAGGTCCTTTAAAAGATAAATTTTTGTGTTCTGTGTAATAGTGGAGTTAATTCTTGCCTCTCTTTGGCTTGCCCTGAAAAGTCTTATAAGTCTTTCTACCACCCTTCACTGAGAGTGCCTAATGGCTTATAGCCAAGGATTAGCTAAATTATGGTCTGGGAAACAAATCTGGCCCCTCATACCTCTTTTTGTAAGTAAAGTTTTATTGGCACACAGCCATTGCCATTCATTATGTATTGTCTGTGACTGTTTTCATGTTTCAATCGCAAAACTGAGTAGTTGCAAAAGAGACCAGCAAGACAAATATTTACTATCTGGCCCTTTAGAGAATAAATCTGCTATTTAAGGGGAGGTGACTCAAAATGGGGTTGGGATAGAGAGCAAGGGAGGAAGATTACCTCTAGATAGGGAATCGGGGTGGGAGGGAAAGGGAGGGAGAAGGGGAATAGCATGGATGGTAAAAGGAGACTCTCATCATTATACAAAATACATGTATGAAGATGTGAATTTGGTGTCAACATACCTTATATATAATCAGAGATATGATAAATTATTATGGTGTATTAAGAATTGTAATGAAAATAAATAATGTGCACTAAAAAAGATAATAAATCTGCTGACCCTGACTAATACCATCTATTACTTATTTCTTTGTATCTATCCCAACAGATAACTAGAGTGAAAGTACATAATTGTTCATAATCTGCATGATGATAATAATTACCAACATTCACAGAACATTTCCTATAGGATGGACACTGCACTAAACCCCCTGTACTTGCATTCTCCCTCATTATTCTCACAAATTTGTGGAGTAGAAATGTCATTGTCTCCAGTGTACACTTATGAAAACTGAGGGTGAAGAATCTTTTGTAACTAGTCCAAGGTTGTGTAGCAGGAGAGTTTGAGTACCATGTGCAGTCAGCCTTCACACTGAATTTCTGGATGAGCTTCCATGTACCTGATGAGGATGGTGATCATGCTCTTGGCTCAACAAGACTTTGGAGACTACCCCTCTATTGCTTTAAAACAAGACAGAAGTAGTTGCTGTTCCAGATAGAAGATGGCTCCAAGGTGAAGGATTCTACTAGTGATACAAACCTAGCACACAATATTAATAATGTCTCATTGATCCTTGACTTATACATCTAACAAATCAAGATACTTTCAATTATATATTAAATTCATCCCAATAGACTAGAAATTGTAAACTAATGGTCAAAACTTCATACCTACCTCACTGTCAAACTGCCAATGAGAAAATAAAACTCAGGGATCATTAAGGTGGCTGGGAACAGGATGTGACGTCTAAAATGGATGATGGCAGATGTTTCCTCTCTAATGAGTGGCCATTATCTGAATATGCTCCTTGAGTCCACRTTTACCAGAAAATGTTAGGAAAAGTGAGCTGGCCAATTATTTAATCACAAAATATCATTCTTCTCCAAGAGATCTCAGTGATAGGCTCATAATCTCTTATGTCTGTGTCTAAAACAGAACTTTTTGCTAGTTCTTTCCTCACTAACATTTGGATCTGCTTAGTCTTTCCTCTTCATGTTACCACTTTTCCCATTTTCTTTTTTGAACTAATACTACCTTCCTTTCTAATGAGAGTAGTTTCTATACTCGTATTGTCATTGCTACAGAGGCCCATCTGAAGACTGTAAGCCAAAGACCTCGATTGCTCTGGTTGCCCAAGAAGCTATGAATGGACAAATATGTGCATTAGTTTATCCCTTTCTCCCTCGCCCTTCCTTTTATCATTCATCCAGTTATCCATTTGGTAAATACTGATTAAACATATAATGCTAGTCTGAACTGTGAGGGTTGTAACAATGAACAAAATTCATTCTTTCCTTTTTTTYCTTCACAGAATATCAAGTCTATTAGAATGTACAGAGAGGCAAGCAGATGTAAACAAAAAAGCAGATATAAACAAAAAAAATTCGTATTGATGATTGCAATGATAGGGAAAGTACTGGGGATGATGGGAGCATGTGGTAAAGGATGAATTAGGCTGCTAAATTTGTGGTTTCTTATGCAAAATGAAGATATGGGCATTTTGCTAAAAATTAAGAATTTCATGATAGAAACAACAGAGTATGAATCCAAGTTTAGCACCATTTTAAGTGTGGGAATCCATGGGACTATACAGACTGCATACCCATGAAGCTGAACTGGGATTAGGGAAGACTTCTTGAAGAAAATTCTGGAAAAACTGAGTCCTGGAGGCCTAGCAGGAGTTAGTTAGGAATACTAGAAAGATGGAATACTCTAGTCCATGAGATCATGTGAGTCAAGGTCAGATGCAAGCAAAGTATCACTAGAATTTACTAATTAATCAGTGAATTATAGTTAGTAAATAAATGCCTGATACATGAAACGCATCAGACAGGTCAGTACTGCAAATCCATTTTTTTTTTTTTTTTGCATAGGAATCGTTTCATTTCAATTGAAAACATGTATTGAATTCTCTTCTTATTGTGAAAGACACTATGTCAAGCACAACAGAGTACAAAGATAAATTAAGCAGACCCAAACTTAGGAAGTACATATCTAATGAGATGGACAAGATGAACATATTGGATCATAACAAAAGGCAGAAGCAGATAAACACTAAGAAAAATGCTTCAGAGATAGAAAGAAGGAAGGGATTTTACTCAACTGGGAAAGGTAACAAAGGTAGAAGCAGACTCAGAAAGTTTCCCAAAATAGATGATATTTGAGATGGTCTTTGAAGTGTAGGATTTCAATTAGAGAAATTTCTGGAGAAACACATTCCAAAGGAGGGTACGATATAAGAAAGGCAGAAAGCCAGAAAAAAAAAATGAGAGGCTTGTAGGGCAGGGTCTGTATCTAGTTCAGTGGACAATGGGAGCCATTGAATAAATTTTGACAGAGTACTAATATCATTAGAGTTTCTAATGAGAGGAAACTCTCCCCAACATGGCTCCAGACTCCAATTCAGCTGCCTGTTTCACTCTGTGCTGCAAGCTTGATTACTTTTGTTCCATGAAATAGGGAGCAAATATTTTGCCTTATTTGTTTTCTGGCTTACTGCCTTTTTCTATTGTACCTTCTTTCTGGAATGTGTGTCTCCAGAAACTTCTCTTGTGGAAATTTATCCCTACACGAGCAAAGTAGAAATGAGAAAAGATTAGAGGCAGCTTAGAGGGCTGCTGTGAACTGGGGAGTGGAGATTGGGAAGGGGCGTGGCAGCTGGGAACTTTGCATACATAGTTATTGGTGATGCTCCTGATAAGTTTGGAAGAGAAAAATTAGCAAAGTCAGGAGGAGAAACTGATTTTGGGGACACAATGACAAACCCAGGTTTAGACATCCACATGGAAATGTCAATCAAAATTTTGGGCACAGAGTTAGGTTGGAGATATGGATGCATTTTTTCCCCCAAAGGAAAAAAATGTGTAAAACCTATTATCCGGAGAACAGTACAGACCAAATGTATAAAGTTTTGGTAAAGAAGCATAAAGGATATTTGAGGATCACTTTCTGAACTTGGTGAATGACATCATAGAGAAAAACAGTTCATTCTTCTCTGAGTTAGCTCTTGGGAACATTTTCAGGGGCAGACCTCTTGGTTGGAGAAGGCACTGATTTGACACAATCACCCTTCTGATGTGACAATCAGACATTGGGCTCATTGGTAGTGATGTGGTGCACTACGGTGATGTGAGTGGGTTTTACTGACATCATTGATTCTGGAGGTCCCATGCATATGTGTATATGTGCATGCTGGTGACCTGCTATCACCCTGTTGCCTCTCTCTGGTGGCTGAATACAAGTGGGAACAGTGGCAAGAGTCATTGGACTTAGGGTGCCTTATATTGGGTCAACAGGTGTCCAAGGAATCTGTGCATAAATTTAGGGTGTTGTGCACATGGGTGGGAAAACCACAATGTCTTTATTTTGTACTAACCCATGGCCACAAATCCTGGTAGTATCCGTAGCACTTGTGATTTTGTCACTGATAGAAATTAAATATTTTTATATCTAATTTTATAGTGTAGATAAAATCATAATTTTTCCTACTGAATAGTGATTTTTCTCATCACTATTTTGA